GGGGGAAAAATGCCCACGGACCATGTGTCAGGGGCGGAAAAATGGCCGCGGACCATGTGTCAGGGGCGGAAAAATGGCCGCGGACCACGTGTCAGGGGCGGGAAAATGGCCGCGGACCACGTGTCAGGGGTGGAAAATGGCTGCGGACTACGTGTCAGGGGCGGAAAAATGGCTGTGGACCGTGTCACGGGAGGAAAAATGGCCGCGTATCCTGTTCGTACCCCGAGGCGGAGTTCGCAAACCGAGGTAAATTTTTCCGGCCAGAGCTGGTCGTAACCCGAAAAGTTCGTTAACAGAGGCGTTCGTAACCCGAGTATTTGAATATATTTCCATACCCTTAAATGTATTAAATGTATCTGCAGTCTCATTCATGGTTCTATAAATATTTTGATTTTTATTCAATATTTTGTCATCTTATTCAATATGGCAAAATCCCTTTCAATGAAATCTAACTAAAAAATCATACAATACAATTGGTGGGGACCATGTGAGATTTCCTGGATTTACAGTTAGCCAAAGAGACTTTCCTCAGAGACAGGCACAAAGCTATATTTTATTTTAAATATTTATAGCCTATTCCACTATTCAGAGGATCTCATTATAGACTATAGACCATAAAAAAGAAATGTGAAGCAGTAAAACCTAGTCAATAAATAATAATGTAATTAAAACATACTATTTAAAATACATAATAATAAGCACATGCATTGAGAGGAATTTACTAGACAAAAGGCATTGTATAACTGTGATTACCAAGCTCTGAATGTGAGAATAAAGGTGGTCCTCTGGTACTGAAAGATAGACAACATCAATACCACCCTGACGTCCAGAAAAGGCATCCCAAAGTAGGTTGCCACAACAGAGAACACACCCCTGATAACCACTGGCCACTGAAAAGATTTTTTCCTGTAAATCTTAATGTTTGAGTAAGTACATACTGAGATTGTACTGTCGAAGGCTTTCACGGCTGGCATATGAAGGCTGGTGTGGGTCTTCCGGGCTGTGTGGCTGTGTTCTGGAAGTTTTGTTTCCTAACGTTTCACCAGCATCTGTGACCGGCATCTTCAGAGAGCAGGAGCACAGACAGGAGCAGTTCTCTCTGTGCCCATCAGCTGTGCTCCTGCTCTCTGAAGATGCCGGTCACAGATGCTGGTGAAACGTTAGGAAACAAAACTTCCAGAACACAGCCACACATCCCGGAAGACCCACACCAGCC